CCTGGCCAGGAAAAGGGACATGGAGGTGCCGCCGAGTGATCGCTTCTCCAAGTGCGTTAGTGTCCTTAACCTGCTTGACATTCCGGGACGGCGTTCTGTAGACCGAATTTGACTCGGTAGTAGTTTTGCCATGGTATCAAGGGATAAGATATGGGAGGATTTTAGTCTCACATATTTTTAGTAACGGTGGCTTGTGCTCAAGTTTTAGTAGGTTGTTGAACATGGATTATACTGCTTCAATTGTCTTTAGTGACAAAACGTTAAACGGGGATTGAGTAACCCTAATAGAATCAGCAGTATTCCCTCCGTCAGTAATAAGACTTGTAATGATCCAGCACTCAGTCGAAACGAGTTTCCAGGACTTTTTTGTCAAACAAGCTTTTTATAGTCCAAGGACAAGATGGGTCTCGACAGGTCGACAATTGCCGTTACTTGTGCCGTTCTGTTGATCTCCACTATAGCGGCTATTTACTTCCTACGGAAGAAAAAGGGCAGTGGTTCGAAGGTGAGGCTTGGGCTTGATCTTTTTTCTGTTCTCGCCTCCTCTTGAGAAGACAGCTGACTTCGCTTTCGAGTCTTCTCTTCGCATAATGAGTTTGTGCACCTCTTGTTTTCAGCATCCTGTGACGCTGGTGGATGAGGATACCAAGTACGCTCTTCCATTAGCCGAAAAGATAGAAGTTAGCCACGACACACGCAAATTCCGGTTTCGGTTGCCCTCAGAGAACCATGTGCTTGGTCTTCCAGTGGGTCAGCATGTGTACCTGAGCGCTAAAGTGAGCGTTGTTTTCTGTTTTTTTTTGCTCTTTTACATTTGACACAGTAGCGATGTTTTCTACTCTACTTCCTCATCGAGAGTGTACTAGAAATGCTTTGTTCGAAATGTTCAACAATACCAAGTGTATAAAACTGACGAGTAGAGTCTGAACGGTCTAGATAGGTAACGCAAGAAGCTCGACCCATTCTCTCAGAGCTGGGCATTCCGCTTCTCTTGAAAGCCTTTTCGAAAGGGGCCATATGCTGACATGCTGAGACGCAGTGCGTTCCCCAAGGTAGGAGAAGATTTGACGCTGCTTCAGTTGACCAAGAGTTTTAATGGGGCAATGTTTCGTTAAATTATAAGAATCCCTTACTCGAAGGTGGTGTAACAGCAAATGGCACGTTTATCACGCGCAGTCTCCGCGTCAAATCTGCGACCGGCCGGCGCGCAGGTCTACCTCACCACTCAGTCCCGAGTTAGTTTTGTGAGCTGAACCTGAGCTAGTTTCGGCGTAATTTCAGTCCCTCCCTCTTTGGACACCCTAGAGCTAGCTCTCCGCATGTTTTAATTTCATGTCTTCTAGATTGATGGGAAGTTAGTGGTACGTCCATACACTCCGGTCTCCAGTGATGACGATTTGGGTTACGTCGAACTGATGATCAAGTTGAGTTATTTTTATGACTTTTTATTGGATTTCATTTTTCTCTGTGGAAGACTCAGTGACCGAAATTCCTCTTTGAGTCATTTGGCTTCAGGTTTACTTCCGTGGCGTGCATCCTAAGTTCCCAGATGGTGGTAAGATGAGTCAGCACTTGGAACAAATGAAAATTGGTGATACGGTCAGTAGATAATATGTTTTTCTTGCATATATTCTATTTTGTTCTAGGCTTGTTTTTCAGATAGATTTTCGTGGACCGTCTGGGCTAATTGTTTATAAGGGCCATGGAAAGTTCGCCATACGACCAGACAAGAAATCACCACCGAAGGAACGGGTTTTCAAAAAGATCTCTATGATTGCTGGAGGAACTGGAATTACTCCGATGTTACAGGCTAGTTGAAAGCTATCGAGGAAAAGTTGATTTGTGAACCTTCAGGCGAATTGAGGGGCAGAGATAATTGGTTGTCGGGAAAGTTCTTATGCGTTTTGGGGTAGTTTAACTCTTAAACGATCATAACTTTCTTAACACTCATCGGATTTAATCCAAATAAGCACCATTCGAATCAGCACACTTTTGCCAATGTGGCAGCAGTCGAGAAATCCCATCAAAGAAAAAACTGGGTGGTCGAGAATCCACGAAATCTGCGAAGGTCTTTTTTGCCTGGTCCTGTTTGATGAAGTATTTCTCAGCAGGAAAGTTCTGAAAATGTCTGAAAAGGTGACAGTCGGTTGGTGAAAGGTCTAGAGAATATGGTGGGTGAGGTAGAACTTCAACTCCCAATTCGTTCAATTTATGGATAGTGATTTGTGAAACGTGTGGGCGGGCGTTGTCATGCAAAAGAATCGGACCCTTTCTTTTGATAAGTGTTGGCTGCAGCTGACAATATTTTCGGTACATTTGGTCGGTTTGTTCACAGTAGGGTTCTGCTGTGATGGTTTGGCCTGGTGATGAAAAGTTATAGTGGATTACAACAGCCGATGACCACCAAACCTGACCAGAATTTTTTTTTCGCGAGGGTTCGGCTTTGAAAATTACCTCGGTGGTTCCTCCAAATCCAACCACTGTCCGGAACGTCTCCTGTTATCATACATGATCCATTTTTCATCACAGGTGACAAATCCGTTCAAAAACGGGTCAATTCTTTTGCGCAAAAGCAGTGAAGAAGGAACCTCGAGACGTGCCGATTCCTGCCGGTCACTCCGATTGTGGGGCACCCAATTGTCGAGTTTTTTCACCTTCCCAATGCGTTCCAGACCATCTGCAACAGTGGATTTGCCAAGGCCTAGCTCTTCTGCTATCTCTCGAACTGTTTGGGATGGGTCAACCTTCAAAATCCCCCTAAAATCCTCGTCAGATATTGCTTTAGGTCGACCGCTATGAGGCTCACCTTCAAGGCTGAAATTTCCAGAACGACATTTGTTGAGCCATTGCGGCACAGTGCTTTCTCTAGCACTATTGGGCCTCCACACCTGGTTAATTTGTTGAGCTGTTTCGATTGCGGATTGCCCCAATTTATAGCCGAAGAAAAAAATCGTCCGAAGTGCTCTTTTCACATGCTTGAAAAAATCTTGAAAAAAGAGGGTTTATCAAGCAATGGTGAAACGGCAATTATACCATCAGATAGCGCAAGAAATTCTCTACAGGATGTGCTACTGAGAAGCAAGGCAGAATGAGTTTTTAATCAGCAGTGAATGTACAAAGATTAGGTGCACAAAACGCTAAGAACTTTCCGGACAACCTAAATAATTTGGGGATAGCCAGCCGCGCGAATGCATGCCACGTCGTCATGTCTGCTTGAGTGTGCCCCCTCAGCGAACAAGAAAGTGGTGTATATTCCTGTTCGGGAATTCCTGAAAGAAACAGGAAAATAAGATTCCAGCATATCGCCATAGAAAGCAAAGAAAGCAAAGCAAGTACGATCCCTCCTCCTACAATGACCAATTGGCGACCCCCCCCCCTTCCTTCGCTTGAATCCCTAGCCTGCAACGTACCCCAGGAATCATGTTAAACTAGGCGTGCGATCGTTGCGTGATCGCAGGCAGTATGTTACAAATTTTGAACGAGTAACGCTTCAGAACATCACTTCGACTGCCCTCTTGTCCACTGTCTTCTTGCCCCTTTTTATCCTGTTGTCTTCGTATCGTGGAATTGGATTGAGTCGTCGGGGTGGAGTGAAATGTACTTATTCTATAGCTCTCGGTCGATGTTAAAAGTGTATAAAGAAAACTGCGAAGGAAATGCCTAGAGAAAAAGCTACGAAAAGTGTAAAAAAAATCGGCAAAGTTTTTGACGTGCTCTGAGATGCTGGGGCGGGGTTCCTGTGTCTACGAATCATCAAGGGCGGGGCCATTTCGCCGCATATTCTGTCGCTTTGCGGAAGTTGAGTCGTAGTTCATTTTGTGGTGAACCCTTGTTATTTTACAGATCATCTCCGCCATCCTCAAAGATCCTGAAGACAAAACCCACATCAGCTTGCTGTTCGCTAACCAGTCCGAAGAAGACATTCTGTGCAGGTTGTTTCAATGAAGTCTTCGCCCTCACACTTGCATAAGAACTTACTTGTTTCAAGGAAAGAGCTAGACGAACTAGCTGCAAAGCACAGCGACAGATTCAAGCTTTGGTATACTGTTGATCGTCCACCATCTGTTTGGAAGTATTCTACAGGATTCGTAAATGATGTGATGATCAAGGTATGATGACGTTAGAGAAGTTTTCTTTTCCTTTTGAAAAAAACAGACTATACACTCACCTCCGAGGTACCTGGTTCCTTTGCGAGATTTATGGGTCCGCATCTGCAGTGCCAGTTTCGCTGGATGGTAGTGGTACCCGAGCGCCGTCTCCATACTCCGCCCAAGCTGCCGCACGGCCAGCCACACGCCCAATCACAGCCGAAAGCGCTTCTTTTCTGCGCTCTCTCAATCGTGGTTGTTCTCTGCCGCTAATTACGGGTTTTGCTGCAGAACCTCGCTATCGATGCAAGTGCTACGCCTTGAGGATAGCGCGGGCAGACTATAGAGATAGCACTCGGGTATCACTACTTTACAGCAGTATTCCCGTGCACTATTGAGCTGAGAAAGTGGCACAATACTGCAGCTGCGGGTCCATTCACCTTGCATAGGAAAGTGTACAGGCTCGCGGGCGAATGTACAGATTGTCTTTAATAGCTGGCATATTCTACCTTCTTCCTTTCAGGAACATCTCTCAAGTCCCGCGGAAGATTCAGCAGTTTTGATGTGCGGTCCGCCGCCTATGATCACGTTTGCTTGCATTCCAAATCTCGACAAAGTGGGTCATGATCCAAAGAATAGATTCCAATTCTAGATGAGTTTTCTGAAACAGGATGCTGCACGGTAGCCTACGCTTGTTATTTTCACTTTTTTACCGGTATGAGTAGTATGAGTATAGACCATAGATCATGCAATTGTTGCACGCTTTGAGAGCCTTCAACGGAATAAGTACGGTTCAGCATTGCATTTGTGTTCGCAGCTGTTGCAATGAATTTTGTTCTATACTGTTGCTTGTATGGAGCCAACATCGACCTTGCCTTCTTTGAGTATTTTTTGGAAAACATTCGATAAAATTCGCTTTCAAGTTCTGTTGGATAAACCTAGTGCAAACATACGGATATGGGGAAATTCCCTATCTTCTCTCTTTCTCTTCTTGCATGAGTCTCTTCCTGCAGGAACGCGCTAGTTTAGTGATCCGGGCGAGTTGTACGGTCAAAAACACGCAACGCATGTCTTTCATGACATATCAATCGGAATATGATTGCACTATTTGGGCGTCTACTAGCCATTTGGGTCGCCAGAATCATAGTTTCAACCAAATTCAACTCTTACTCTGGAAGTTACCACAGGAATGCTGAGTTATGGGTAAAAGTCGCAACCTGAGGGGGACTCGAGCCTGCACCTCACGCTTCCCAGAAGAGAGCGCTAATCCATCCCATTATCAGGGCCTCTTTCAATCTGCGAGCCTGGACGGCTTTCATGCCATGCGTTAGCACACACATCCACATTCGCCAAAATACATGAGATCGTGGTACGAGTCCTCTTACGTCAAGATTTTTTGACAACTCAGAATTCTAGCAGTAACTTTCGTAAACTGCCTGTGGCGTTAAAGAGCTTTAAGATTGCGTTCAAAGTTCGTAATCGCGCGATCGAATCACTCGATCTCTGCGCGGTCTTTCTAATCATATAATAGCTGCAGCAATTACACAGAAAACTCTCCAGAGCGATCGCGCCATTTGTTGAGTTTTCGAAGCAACTGCGACTATTCATCAATATAGTGCTTGAGCTGATGTTCCTAACAAAGTAATCCGTCGACCTGTATATAGACAGATAAAACAACATCATGATCTTTCTTTATATATACTTTACTGTCATTAACGATTCTACAAAACCTGTAAAGCATTAGCAATAAAACTTTGAAGAAGAACGAAATAAATAATGAAAATATTCAATGAATGTCATTCGCCCATGAATACCTACAACTTCTTCAGAGGAGATGTGATCCAACCATAATTACAAATAAAAAACAGTGCCTAATTCTTCAATTGAGAGCTTACAGTATATACCATTTTCACTTTAAATCGGACACTTTTCAAACCAAATCGGACACTTTTCAAACCAAATCGGACACTTTTCAAATCAAATCGGACACACCCTTACAATTAGGTGGTTGATAACTAGACCACACTAGGTACTGTTGCAAGCCCCGCCCCATTATCCCCGCCCACTTCTCAGCGGACAGGGGGCGCGCAGACAGGGTTTTCCGAGATGCTTCATGAAATCTGCTCCCTCGACTTTTTTTCGTTTTTGCCCTTTGCACACACACTTCAACTGAAAAAGATTGATACCTATACAGATCTGACTCCGCCCACTTAACAATGAAGTTACGTAAGTTCTGAATTTTTATAACTTTTTTCGACGTAGTTCTTTTCACATCCAATCTTCACAAAACGAATAACCATGCACAGCACACCAGGCCCCGCCCCTCTGACCCCGCCCACTTGTGTTTATCGCGGACAGAATAAGGACACACAGAATAAAAAAAAGGGAAAAACCGGAAAAAAAGGGAAACTTTGTTCTGAGCGACGGGAGAGGCCGTAATCCGCCAGTACGGACACTAGCCCGCCGATTTGCATCATTTTCGAAAAGTGGGCGGGCTTCCGCTAAAGCCTAAAAAGCGAAAATCCGGAAGAAAAACCAAAATTCCGCGATAAACACAAGTGGGCGGGGTCAGAGGGGCGGGGCCTGGTGTGCTGTGCATGGTTATTTCGTTTTGTGAAGATTGGATGTGAAAAGAACTACGTCGAAAAAGTTATAAAAATTCAGAACTTACGTAACTTCATTGTTAAGTGGGCGGAGTCAGATCTGTATAGGTATCAATCTTTTTCAGTTGAAGTGTGTGTGCAAAGGGGCAAAACGAAAAAAAAAGTCGAGGGAGCAGATTTCATGAAGCATCTCGGAAAACCCTGTCCGCGCTGAGAAGTGGGCGGGGGCTTGGACAGTACTAAGTGTGGGTCTAGAATATCAACCGCCTAATTTTAGTGGGCACGAGTGTCGGTGTCCGACTGCGATTTGAAAAGTGTCCGATTTGGTTTGAAAAGTGTCCGATTTAAAGTGAAAATGGTATAAATGGAAGAATACAGTGAGCAAACAATTAAGTATAGGAAGGAAATAGACAGCACTTTTTCGGCGCTCGTCCGCTTTGGGAGGGGCATTTTGTAAACTTCGTAAATGGTCCAATCATTTTTCGAATTCAGTTGAAGTCGGGATGTGGCGAAGTATTGAAAGACGGTCTCCAGGCTCGTTTTTCACACCAAATAGTAAATAAATATGCTCGCCTTCATCGACTGATTGTGAACGGGTTGCGCTGCTCACTCCGTGAAAAACTCAGCTCCGTGAAAAAACTCACCCATGTGCGTTGTGGCGCAAAATTTCGACGTCACCGCGGCGCAGCGAAAGGCGATGGCCCGCGCCTCCTCCTCCAATCAGCAGCGGCTTGTGGAAGGAAAAAGAGAAAAATAGATGGAGAAAGATGACTGAACAGATAGTGGACGCCTACAGTTGAGTTAGTGGTAGTGGTGAAAGAATACAGAAAAGTCGACATCAGGGCCAATTACAAGGTAAATGGCGAAATACCCCCTTCGATTGTGAAAACGACGCAAACAGCTCTTACGCAAACGTTTAAGGTGAGGTTTGGCAAATTGCCAACAGTTGGATGTGACCTTATAACGGTATAACGGTAATCGAAGGGAACTATTTCGCCTGTTTCGCCATTTACTGAAGTAATTCGCCTTTTCTGTATTCTCTCACCACTACCACTAACTCACCTATACGCATCCACTATTTGTTCAATCCTCTTTTCTCTCTTTTTCCTTCCACATAAAAGCGGCTGCTGATCGGAGCACAGTGGCGGAGGCGCAGGCCATCGCCCTTCGCTTCGCCCTGCCGCCGCGGTGACGTCAAAACCGCGCCGCACACGAGCCCGGGTGAGTTTTTCCCTTCCTCCGGTCAAACTCAGTCCTCCTGGCATGGCCTCCCTGCCTCCCACGCAGAGAAAAGGATGCGTGGGTAATTTGTGAGAAATCGTTCACCTACCCCGTACTTGAAGCCATAATCGCTCCTTCATGCCGTCCAACCTAATTTTCTAGCTTATTCTGAAGAATGTCTTGGATACCGAGAAGTTCTCCATAACCGACAACTGGTCAATGTCCAATTCGATTCGTTTCCAGAGCGTGGCGCCTATAACCTGTTGAGGGAGGGGAGGGGGGGGGGCTAGACTTGTGAGCGCTTGCCAATGTGTGTA